TTCTTTCGAGACTTTCTCTTTTTTGACGGAGCTTAGGATATTCACAACATTCCAAAACGTCCTCTCCGAGGAAAATTTTATTTGAAATATATAATAACTGTAACATGTATTACAGGATATACAGTAAATTCTTCCTCGGAGAGGACATTTTGGAATGTAATTTTGCTAGAATTGATCGTCAGTGATTATCGACCTGTGCAAAGCTGAAGAAATTGGTGATTCAATCGGTGAGATCGAAGAGCCTCGCAATCTGCATTGCGCGATTCGATATATCGATTGTTTGATATGTACATACGTTGTCTTTTAAATTTAAATTTGAGTTTTAGCTCATTCAGTTTCTAATCTGAATTCTGCTACGAATTATGGATTGTCTAGAATGAGTATTACGTGACTGACGTTAAACAGCGACGTTAAACAGCGCTGTATCTTACAACGTAAATTGCCTATCTAAAGGAGATATAAAAACGAAAACGAAATTTATTTGAATAACAACGTAAAATAACTATTGTACAAAGATATCTCGTATTCAAACGCTAACTGGACGACTCATTCATTTGGCTGCGTTCAGCAGAAAAAGCAACTTTACAATTATTGTAAGATTCTTTAAAGATTAGTTTATACATTTAGACCGATATTTATCCGTTCTTATTTCAAGACCATCTTAAGTAATATCTCAATATGTTAATACGGCTCTGTAATTGGTGATTCACATCTTAAAACTGGACTTAAGACAGTCTTGTATATAAATAAAAGAATTAATTATACCGGTCTCAAATTCAGTAGAGAAACTAAAGGCAAAAATCAATCATATTAAAGAATCACTGAGCGCTCGCTAATTAGTTTTCTCTGCTGTACGCATGCAACCATTTATTTACGACATTTTATCAAGCCTATCACTTATCATCGAGACGATTACGATATTATGTTCAATTAACTATATTTTTATATTGCAATGACCGCGTTCAGCAGAATTATGCATTTATTTTGCAATTGCTGAAAGTTTTCTTCATTAAGATAGGATTGTTTTTCTAGATATAAAAGAATAATTTAATCTACGCCAAATGTTAAGCATTAACTTCTTCTGAACGCGGCGAATATTTTATAGCTGACATCCGTTTTAAATGACTTATAATTCGCGCCTAATTTCAAGACAGAATTCTATTTATAATATATGAAATAAAATTCCGTCCTGAATTCTTACACGAGTTACAAACTGTAATGAAAAAACAAACTGTCTGAAATAGATTTGTTTTGAGATTTGTTTTGGCATGAATAAACACGCGGTGCGGAATCGTAGCTTGAAACATCACAGTGCACGCCACGACGAAAGCCTGAGTGTGAATCACGTCTCGTCATGTCTTCAACATTCAGCTAGACACTTTTCGGATTCCCTGTGCGGTCTCGTTTGTAATCGACAAATCCTCTATTCGATCCTTCGGTTCGCCAAACAGAAGCTTGAGGGTTTCTAATGCTGACGTGAATATACTCCTATAACGTAAAAAATAAATGCATCGGAAATAATTGTTAATTGTATTATACTGATTTATCTTTAAAAAATTAACTGCCCTGACAGCGTAAGCATTGTTATAAACATCGTAAGTTTTTTTTATGTAAAGCTCATTCTACAATTGCATAAGCAATCAATCAGATACAATCAATCATATACAATTCTTACAACTACAATTACTTACAACTACGTTTACGAAATTGTAGATTGGGGACTTAAGATAATTTTAAATACCTAATATAACTTTTTACATTAGTATAGCAGTATAGTTTTAATAATGTAGTTGCAAAAAATGCGTACGTAATTGATTGTCACTCGATCTTTATAACAATTACACTGTTTTTATATTAGAGCCATATTCGTATTATTACCAGTTGATTAATTATTGCCTGTCAATAAAACTTGACTAAAAATCTATAGATAGTTCATGTTATGTATATTATATTGTACTGACAACTGGCAGTAATATATGAACATAGTTTAGGTCAATGCAAAATTAATTAAAATTAAATTAAAATTATTTGACTGGGCGAATTTTAATCTCCAATTTAATTTAATTAATTTAAAGTTAATTCGCAATCGTCTATCTCCCTAATGTGTAGTGGGCTCTTGTTGTATACAAAACTCATGATGCTATGTATACAAGGATCAAGATGCAGAGACACTATAATTCGAATAAAAGGAGCTCCATCGAGCATCTCGACAGCTGGGCCATCACCTGACGCTGTCCTTCATGTTCCCGTAGATTTCGCCGGGCGGCAGCTTCACGGAAGGTACCGTCTCCTCCACGAAGTCCAGTCCGACGCACACTGCGTTGTCGACGATCTTGAGCGGCGTTTCCAGAAGGCTGGCGATGCTGCCGGTAATGGGGCTGGCGAACTCCAGGCCCGCGCGCATCCCGTCCTCTGCGTGGCCTAGTATCGTCGCGATCGACTCGTGGGAACCTCGCACGGCTTTGTACGCGCCGCAGAACGTCGAAGTCACCGTGGCGAACACCGGCAAACCCAGCAGACGACGTGTGCACATCATGCCACGAACGTTCGCGTCGCCGGAATTCGCGGGTGCGATGCTCGGTACGGTGGGATCGTGCGTGCCGCACATGACGCTCAATTGCTGCAGGACAAACGGCACGATAGGTGTGAGAGGGCCAGATATTGCATAGAATTAACTCTGAAATAGTCACTTAGTTCTTTTTGCATAAACGATTACTCGGGATGTTTTTCCCAATCAAAATTCACGATTATTTATTATATGTTACTGTTCTATAATTTATTAATATTTATTCCTTTCTAAAAAAAAATTAATAAAGAGAAATAAAAAACCTATAAATACCTATAAATTCTTGATCAGTATTCAAACAATAGTATAATTACATTCAAGATCAGTTAATAAATGTTAGAAGCAAATGTGTGTAAGCTGTAATATAAACGTAATATAAACTGACAAATAAACGTTTAAAATTTGATTTGTTTCTTAAACTATTTAAATTTATAAAAGCGTTTATAAGAAATTTATGACGTCTATTAAACGTTTTCTTACTATAGTAATATATCAAAGTTATATATCAAAATATCATTTTTATTTCGACGGGGGGGTTTAATCAATTTATTTAATGTTTTTATATACTGTAAAAAATGTTTCAGTTAAACATTTTTTTTATGTAAATTGTCTGCTTGGATAAAGAAAACTACTGCTGATTTTTATTTTCTCGTCGCTTAGAGTGTAAGAATTATATCAGATGAGACTATTCCTGGATTAGTCTTGTTATCTCAGAAATAGTTTACAATTCTCGTGTTATATTTTAAGATAAAATTTTACATATAATTATGTATAAGATTAAAAATAGAATCCTATTTTAATGAATGTGTATTTTAATATACATTTGTATATATATATATATATATATATATATATATATATATATTTTTTTTTCTATATATCTTTTTTTTTA